CTAGTACTAGCTTTCAATCATCTATTGTATCATTTACCTCTTCTCCCCCTCCTTCTCCCTCTTCTTCTCCCTCTCCATCTCTCTCTTCCACTCCTTCTCCCTCTTCCTCTGCTTCTCGCCCTCCTTCCCCCTCTTCTTCTCCCTCCCTTTCTTCCTCTTCCCCTCCCTCTGCTTCTCGCCCTCCCTCTCCTTCTCCCTCTTCTTCTCTCTCTTCTTCTCCCTCTCCTTCTCCCTCTCCTTCTCCCTCTTCTTCTCCCTCTTCTTCTCCCTCTTCTTCTCCCTCTCCTTCTCCCTCTTCTTCTCCCTCCCTCTCTCCCTCTCCCTCTGCTTCTCGTCCTCTATCTCCCTCTCCCTCTCCTTCTCCTCTGCTACTAAACATCACTCTCAGTTTATCCTTCCCTCTGATACAAATAGTTCCAACAGCCAACACTGCAAACGAGATTCGTGATCAAATGGCTGATCTTTTTAGCATTGTAGTTGATTCGATATCAGTCGTGAGATTGCTCTATATCGATCCTGATACCGGAATGAAGACAATAGTCAAAGAAGTCACGTACTCACGGACTAGACGTCAAAACGGAGAGGAGACTGTAAACGGAGTTGAGCTTGTTGTAACAACCAATGACTCAGCAACTATTGGCAATACAGTGAACAGTTTTAATCAACAAGTAAAGTTTATATTATCTCACATTGTATTTGCATTGCTTGTGTCTTGGGTAGTACTAATTGCATTATCTTACATACTTTTAAGTCATTGTTTTGTCTCTGTATGTGGTACATGTAATATCACAGTGTCATAATACTCATTGTTCATTTTTCTATAGATTCAAAATGGCAGCAATGTCACTCTAACTTTGAATGGTCGCAATGTTTCCCTGGATTCCTTTGAGAGTGGTATGATCATTATAGTATAGCTATTATCATAATAATAATTTAGCTTGCATTTATAGCAATTTTATGATACATTGAAGCACACTTACATGTATATCTTAATAGTAGCATAAATGACCTTTTAAAAAGGGAATGGTGACCACATTACCACTAGTTTGTACTACTATACTGATTTATATACACATAGAGGTCACTTGGTGTGGTTTTACCTGTTACCGGTTTATCAGGTGGTAATTCCCTGATAACCTACTGGTGGCATTAAATTTTATACAGTCTAGCATTAGATAATGGAGACACCTGTAATAATAGTGGTAGATATACACCCATTTAGTGGAATTAAATTTAAAATTAAAATAAAAGGACATTTTATAATCTCAAAAATTGCTAATATGTGCAAATAAAAAATACTTCTTTTTGTCATTAATTTTGTATTGTGTTTTGAATAAATTTAGACTTGTTAGATTTATTATAATTGTTTTAGTTAATTTATTTGGGTATTCTTAATTACAAGTTTTATAATTTTATTTTCTAGTTATAACGTCGCCCACTCCTTCTCCAACAGTCACGCCTACTTCATCGACCACACCTCCTGTTAATACGCCTGGTTCTACTACTACACCAACCGATGATGGTGGACTGACCTCTGGTGCCATTACTGGTATTATATTGGCCTGTTTGCTGGGTTTCCTTATAGTGCTTGTTATTGCTGTGGCTGTTAGCTATTTTGTATACACAAGAGCTGGAAAAATTAAAAGTTATTCATTCAATAATGGACATGTAAGTTAATAATTATTGTAATAATTATTATTTAATAATTTTGAATGGCATATACTGCTAGAATAAAGAGCTGCTATAATTAAAATTTGGAGTGATTTGGGATAGTTATTTATAAACCATGGGCTCTAAAAGATGCTCACAACTTAAATAATTTTGGTTGAAATCAGCTCAAACTTGCTATATGGCATAAGGACATCAATATGTATCAGAAAATGTAATAAAAATTGGGGGTGATTTTGGAGCCATTTTTTGAAAAAAACCATGGGCTATGCCTTGGGTATTTTTCAGATTTTGGCTCATTTTTAAAAATGGCTGTAACTCGAAAAATTGAAATCGGAATCGGCTCAAACTTTCTACGTAGCATAAGGACATCAATATGTATTAGAAAATGTAATAAAAATTGAGGGTGATTTCAGAGCCATTTTTTGGAAAAAACCATAGCCTTGGGGTTTTTTTCAGATTTTGGCTCATTTTTTTAAATGGCCGTAACTCGAAAAATTGAAGTCTGAATTGGCTCAAACTTTCTATGTAGCATAAGGACATCAATATGTATCAAAAAATATAATAAAAATTGGGGGGATTTCAGAGCCATTTTTTGATAAATACCATGGGCTATAGCCTTGGGTATTTTCCAGATTTGGGCAAATTTTTTAAAATGGCCGTAACTCGAAAAATTGAAGTCGGAATCAGCTCAAACTTGCTATATAGCATAAGGACATCAATATGTATCAGAAAATATAATAAAAATTTGGGGTGATTTCGGAGCCATTTTTTGGAAAAAACCATGGACTATAGGGTATTTTTTAGATTTTTGGCATTTTCTTAAAATTGCCGTAACTTGAAAAATTGAAGTCGGAATGAGCTCAAACTTTCTACACAGCATAAGGACGTCAATATGTATCAGAAAATGCAATAAAAATTTGGGGTGATTTCGGAGCCATTTTTTGGAAAAAACCATGGGCTATAGCCTTGGGTATTTTTCGGAATTTTGGCATTTTCTTAAAATGGCCGCAACTTGAAAAATTGAAGTTGGAATGAGCTCAAACTTTCTACACAGCATAAGAATGTCAATATGTATCAGAAAATGTAATAAAAATTTGGGATGATTTCGGATCCATTTTTTGGAGAAAACCATTATAGCTTTGGGTATTTTTCAGATTTTGGTTCATTTTTTAAAATGGCCGTAACTTGAAAAATTGAAGTCGGAATCAGCTCAAACTTTCTACGTAGCATAAGGACATCAATATGTATCAGAAAATGTAATAAAAATTAGGGGTAATTTTGGAGCCATTTTTTGGAAAAAACCATGGGCCATATAGCCTTGGGTAATTTTCAGGATGGGGTCATTTTTTTAAATGGCCGTAAATCGAAAAAATGAAGTCGGAATTGGCTCAACTTTCTACATAGCATAAGAACATCAATATTTATCAGAAAATAAATAAAAATTTGGAGTGATTTTAGAGCCATTTTTTGAAAAAAATAAAATAAAAATGTGTTATAGCACTTTTTCAAAAATTTGCTATTTTAATTTATTATTTTTTAAAATCCTATAGTTTGAACTGAAGAAGAATTCCCCACGGTAAGACAAGAAATTGTTTTATAAATTATTTTACAACTAAATAATTTTTTTAGGAAAGATGATGAAATGCCTCCAGAATGAAATAACAGACATCATCGAACACTAAGTAATTATATTATTAATTGATCATGTGACATTATTTCTATTATACTTTTTGTATATACATCTAATGCTCTTGATTAGAACTCAATTCTCAGTTTATCTTATGTACAAAATTTAATGTTTAAACACTATGATATTATACACATTGTACAATGTATCTACATTTAAAAGAATGGATGGATAATAATTATTAGAAATTAGAATTATAGTTATTATACACCAACTGTACTATTATTGTGTAAGTATAGTTATTGAGTTTATTGCAGAACATTGCATTTTGCAAGTTGAATTTGTAGTCATAAGTGTCTTATATCTTTAAAGATATGCATTCATGATACATGTAATAGTTCATTTAAACCATTCATGAATAATTCTGTTTGATGTTAATGATTATGAATGAGGTTTCCAAATGCTATGAAGAAGACCCCTACATGGAAGCCATTCAAATAAATACGTCAAGTGTACATTTGCTCGGGCCTAATTCAGAGCTTTTAGTAACCATGCCTCCATGAATATGTTCGAAACAAAATAAGCACCTTCTATGAGGTGTGTTTATCCATTATTTAATAATAATAATAATATATGTATACACGGTACATGTACTTGGTAGAGCTGTTTCTATCAAATCTGCTAAATTTTAGCATCTCCAAGAGATAGCAGTGCAGCTCTTGTCATGCTTGAATAACCTCATTATAGTTTTTGTGAGTGTGCCTGGCATGACCTTGCTGACTAATGCCAAGTGTAAAGAATGTCATTAGTTGTCACTTCCTTTGATTGCATAATCCGGAGTCATCATGGTCACACTTACACATGTTAACAGCATAGCTTCTATTACTCAACGAGTGATTGACTGGTTGTTTATCACGCTTTATTTAAAGGCACAAACAGTCAAACACCCCTCAAGCTTTCAAATAGTTTCAAAGAAGAATTTTAAGTCACTATCTAAAGCAAGATACAACTGAGTAACAGTCTGACAAGATGTCTGAGAAACCACTTGTGAAAAGCTCTTCTTCTCCAGTCAATTCTCTGGCCATGAAGGTCCTAGAGATTGTGGGCCTCTCCATCACTACTGCCATCCTTATCTCCACTTTCATCATTAATGGGTTTGCTGCTGCTTCTGATCCTGAAAAGTTTGGATTCAAGAACCAAACTGGCGATGTAGCAGACACATATTTCACTCAGATCAACCCCAATGGATGGACCTTCTCCATTTGGGGTGTAATCTACGCATGGCAGGCGCTCTGGATCCTCTATGGATGGAGTTTTGTCTTCAGGCCCTCATTCAAGAAGACCATCAACCCTCTTGTGTATTTCTGCTATGCAGGAGCTAACTGCTGCAACATCATATGGATATATCTCTGGGGTAATCTCTACCCACAAGCCGCCTTCCCTTTTATCGTCCTCATAGCCGTATCTCTTTGGGCTGCAATCGCAATTGAAGTTGGATACCTTCGCTACCTCAAACCACACGATGGCACGAGACCTCTTAAATTTGACTACTATATAACACAGTTCCTTGTCGTTAATGGTCTCGTCATTTATGGCACGTGGACTGCAATCGCATCTCTCATCAACTTCGATGTAGTCATTAGTTATTTTGGTAAAGCCACTGATATCACAGCCGCTACTGTTGCTCTCTCAATCCTCACATTTGAACTGCTACTGTATTTCGTACTAGAGAACACAGTCCTTGATAGATTTGTTCGCTTCATCTTCATGGTCTATCCTGTTGTTATCTGGGCCTTGTCTGGTGTCTTGTCAAGACAAGCTGAATATAAAAACGGAGATGGAAAGCGTAACTTTATATTCACAGCTGTGCTGCTCGGTATTGCTCTATTGTTGTTCATTGTTAGGATTATCTTGTGGATTGTTTTTGCTTTTGTGAGGCCACTCAAGAAAGTACTGGACGTCAAGAAAGTTTGAAACATTTAGCTATTATTATTATATTGTTATTATTATTATTATTATTATGTGTCGTACCAATCTTTAAGTGTCAAATTTTGGTTTTAAAATTTTAAAAATTATTAATTAACATTGTGAAAGTGTAGCACCTGAGGCATCAGAGTAAACAAACTTAAAAGAAATTGATTTTGAATTTTAAACATTAAAAAAAACACTGACAATGATTGTGTGTTCTATTGTATTACTGCAGTGGTGGACCTTTTTTAATTGCATTCAAAGAAGAAGCTGAGTGTATAGATGTAATTCATAACATGTTATTGTTAAGCTTAAATCATCATGATTCAGTGCTGACCTTTTATGATTGCATGCAGCCAGTTACATAAGAATAAATAATGTTGCTGCGTGCTGCACAAATCTCTATTGACTAACATTAAATCACAGTCATCACACAGACCACAAAAGGCCAACAAGAAGTCAAAGAAGAACTAAAAATGGACACCACGCCATTGGTCAGAGAGGGTTCTGCTGTTGCTAGACCAGTCAATTCCGTCAAAGCTCGGCTTTTCGAGATATCTGGCCTAGCAGCTTCAACCATAAGTCTGTTGCTTGCCCTTGTTGTCAACGGGCTTTCTGTAACAAACGACTGCACTAAATTCGGCTTCAAGAACACTACATCTAATGTCTCAAATATCTTCTACACTCAAGTCACTCCTGCTGGATGGACTTTTGCTATTTGGAGCGTCATTTACGTGTGGCAGCTCGTCTGGCTAGTCTATGGGTGGACATTTGCCTTCAGAACATCAGCCCAGAAGACCATCAGCCCACTGGTTTATGTATTCTACACAATAACCAACATTTCCAACATCGTATGGATATACCTATGGGGTAACCTGCTACCACAAGTAGCCTTCCCATTCATAGCTGCCATGTTTGTTGCACTCTGGACATCAGTTGGTATAGAGACCGTGTACTTATACAACCTCAAACCTGCTGCTGGTGCAAAGTCAATGAAAGCCGATTACTTCCTTGCTCAACTTCTCGTGGTCAATGGGTTAGTGGTATACGCCACTTGGCTATCCGTTGCTTGGCTGATAAACCTCGATATCGTATTGAGCTATTTCAGTACCCAGACTGCAACTAGTGCTGGTACCATTTCTCTCTCAGTCCTTGCATTTGAAGTACTCATATATTTCCTACTTGAGAACACAGTCCTTGATCGCTACATTCGTTACGTCTACATGGTCTACCCTGTCGTCCTCTGGGCTCTGTCTGGTGTTGCTGCTGCCCACGCCGATGATGCAAATGGAAAAAGAAATTACATATTTACACTGGCTCTTCTTGGAATATCTAGTGTTCTCTTCCTCAGTAGGATTGTGCTCCTTTTTGTGTTTGCTTTCTTTAGGCCACTCACAAAATCCTTTGCAGTAAAGGCCATTTAAGAGAAGACTGACTAACTGTTGCTTCCAGTAAAGTATTGAATAACTTGTCATGTTGTTTATAATTTTTTGCTATAGCTAGTTTGTTATTTTTGCTGGTAATGTACATAGTAATTTATAACTATCATAAGCTGTTTTTTTTAATTTGAAATAACTTTTTGATTAACTTGTCATAATTAAAAAAATCATTGTACACAAAATCAAATGTTAAATCATCATGTAAAGTCACTTTTGAAAGGAATCAGATGTAAAACAATCAATGATATAATAATAATAATAATGATAATGAGTAGAATGTGATTATATATAATAATTGGTTATGATAAGTAATTAAGAATACCATGACACTATTTTTCAAATTGGTAGTCTAACCTAACAAAGAGGCCTCGGGTGGCCGAAGGGACTTTGAAGCCATCAAGACCTTTAATGGCCTTCATAGCATTAGGTCTCAGCATGTCCTACAAAAATCACAAAATTAATGTCCATGCATACTGTACTACTGTTTAAAAGGAAGCTCAACCCACCTGCCCATCATAACTATGTTTCTACTCTTCTACAATCTACACAGTACAGTCAAACCTCTCTAAAACGAACCCCCAATTAGCGGACACCTCTCTACATACAGTTGCTCTTGTCCCGGCCATAAGGCCATTGGGTAGTGTATAAAAGAACCTCTGTATAGCGGAACCTCTCTATTCTGTATAACGGACGAGATTTACTGTCCCCACACATCTACACATATATAAATAAACTTCCAATAGACCAACACGGCCCACGCAATGGACTTTCTAATTAACGCGCATCAAGAAAATGGCGGATTTTCTGGTCTGATTAGCATGGGATAACCTCCACACCTCTGTATAAAGGACAGTGATGGCTGTCCCATAGGTGTCCGTCTTAGAGAGGTTTGACTGTATACTACTTAATAATAGATATGTTAGATCTAGAAATAAAAATTGGGAGACCAATCTAACTAAAAATGGGAGAACTTAAGGACACCTATGCTAAAATATGAAAGCTGATAAATGGACACTTATGCCCACCATCCACTATTCAACTTTGTTGAAAGTAACTTTGTGGTTACTTTGATCTTAGGGCAACTCTGTTGCCTCAAACAGAACTGAGTTCTATTTTAGGCAACAGAGCTGACAGCACATCAAAGTGACCACAAAGTTGCTTTCAAAAAAGTTGAATAGTGGATGGTGGGCATTAGACCAAATATGGGAGAGCAAGTCTCCTAAACTCTTTCTAAATCTAACACTGATAGACAATATATTGTATAGATTCTCTCTTTACCACATAGTGTATTTTTTCTCCACGTTTACCCTTATGTGGTAGTCTCCTTACATCATACACTTTACCAAAAGGACTAAAACCATCAATGATGTCTTGAATGGAATAGGAAGAAGGAATGTTCTTAACAAACAACTAGAGAAACAAAAAATAATAAAAGAACACAAGTATTATAACAGAAGAATATTTCTAGAATTGTTTTCACCACTTTGCATGCATATAGACACGCATACATGTACATGTAACAAGCATATACAGGATCTTTTTGCTAGAAACTCAACCTTTTTGAATGACACCGTTTTGTTTGCAGTGTAGAAACATACTTCACATAAGAAGCATAAACAGGTACATGCATGTAAAGACTCTTAATTATGACTTCTCCAATACAAGATGAAGAAGTGTAAGTCTGAAATACAAATATATATATGTACATATATACACAGGTAGTCAGGTACACAGCCAAGAATTTTTATGCCTGGTCCAGGACTGTTGCCCAACATGACTGGATCAGGCCTGATATCAGTACTGGTGCAGGACTAACAGCCATCATTGCTGAATCATAAAAAGTCGGTCTGGCCTGATCCAGTGTTGATGCTTATCATGCCTGTATCGTGGCTGAACCCATGATTGTATCAGGACTGATTGCTCAAAATCCATGTCCATGCCTGATATCAGGATTGATTCAGACTGAATCAGTTCTGATCCACGTGCCAACTCTTGGCTGTGTAGATGCTGCAACGGTACAATCAACCTCAGTAACAAACAGCTAGGAAATGAAATTTAAGGTAAACACCAAAACTTACGCTGACAATGTCTTGAGTGTCTGGAATATGAGCTGTGTCTCTACCAGCCACACTGGCCCCTCCTCTCCTAGGACCTCCCCTCCCTCTCCCTCGTCCTCCTTTTGATTGAGGTTCAGCTGATGATGACTCAAAGGTTGTGCGACGGTCAGTTGAAGCTGTAGAGTCTGTGGTTGATCCGGACAAGGTTCTTTGACGCGTTGGTAGAGACTTTGGGGCAGCATCAATGTTCCAAACAGTGCGAGGTGGTGGCGAACCTGATATATAGATTATAGACAATTGTTGTTATTTAAATTATTTATAATTTTTTCTGATACATATACATGGTTTCATTTTGCGTATAAAGTTTGAGCCAATTCCAATTGAATTTGGATTTAAGTTGCTCCAAATGCCATGTACATGTACTGTATTGTAGTGCTTGTCAGCTCATGAAGCTCATGCTGTTTAGCTCACTTAGCTTGCTTTGTGGTGTATATGTACATTTAACCAAGCTATCATTCTTTATTTCCACACTATAGTGATTTTGATTTTCTAATGAGCATGACAATTTAACATAAAACACAAAAGGACAAACACTTTTCTGATACCTAGCAAACCTTGCTTTCCATTTTTCTCTTCCACATCTCTCCTAGCCAGGACAACCTTTTTATCATCTCTCCCCAGATACTTTGCAATGCCTGACGTATTAACGACAGCTCGGTTCTTTAAAGGTTTCTTAGTATCGGCAGCAGTGCTGAGAGGGGTGGGGCTACCATTTGGCGCTAAGGGGGCGGAGCTTCTGGTTGCCGTGGCAACAGAGGATTTTATTGGCTCTCTCATATTAGAAGCTCTTCCTCTGAAATGAAAGAAAATTATAAAGTGAACATTAAAAAATTTTTTTTAATTCTTTATTTCTAAAATCTTAACGATTACATTTACATGCAGCTTGCAAACTATACCACATTACAATAAAGACACAGAATTTTGTTAGCTTAAACTTTGTAACATCAAGGAGAAAAATTTGCAAAAATTAACTGGCATAAAAAGAATTACTACAAAATTTTTACACTATATACCTTTTCTCAAAGCTGTCTTTCCTCTTAGGCAGGGGGCTCTTCTTATTTAAAGTTAAAGTTCGAGACTCAGTCTCTGAGTTCCAAGGATCATCAATATCAGTACCAGCACAAACCCTCTCTCCGCCCACTTTAGGAGCAGCTGCATTGGATTTAAGGAACACGTCAGAATCAGAGTGGGTGTATAAATCTCTGTCAGTTCTTTCAGCCCAAGTAAGACCCTGGGGGGGGGGAGAGAGAGGCAGTAAAATATATGAATTTTGTATTAATTTAAAGATGAGTTATCTTGTAAGCAGAAGTCCCGAGCAACTCAACATCTTAACATAAGAATTACAGCAAATTGTATTCATGTCATCACGTGTGAAACCATTGAGTTACATACATTTACATGTACAGTACATGAGTCACAACACCAATACATGCATTCTAAACCCACATGTACATAACATAGTACCACTTTATTCCCATACATGGTATTCAATCAGTTGTCAGGATTTAGTTGCATGATTTTAAAAGAATTATGCAGGAAATTTTTCTTGCTATATGGCAGGCCATGATGTTACTACTGTTTTCACAAATGATTAAGTAAAAATATAATTTCCATTACAGTAATTATGTTAACATTAACATTAGTGATACTGATAGTCACAGAAGATTAATTCTAAGTAAACTGTAATTGTCCATTAGAGTAGGTACTGGTACATTTAATGCATGGTTTAAATTCCAGTCCCTGTCAAGCTCACATACAGTTTAGTAAAATGTTAAAGATGTTCATCTTTATGTTGTTGTTGCTGTGTTTAATAGTTACCATTGATGAAGGAGAAGGATCTTATTGTATGGCTGATTGTACTGGATATAAACATGAACCATCACTGTATATAAGGACATGCTGTATCATTAGTAACTTAGGACAGACTATGCGTATGAGAGAAGGAAGAGTGAAGACTGTCATGGTATGTCCTGATGTAAGGCCACAGGTCTGTCCACCAGTAAGTGATTGTAAGAGCTTGTTAGAGGATGGTAATACTACTAGTGGTGTTTATACTGTCAATCCTGATGGAGGGACTCCATTTGAAGTTAGTTAAAAGTAATTTATAATTATACACTATTGGATCACAGGTATACTGTGATATGGAGACTGATGGTGGTGGATGGACTGTATTTCAGAGGAGACAAGATGGATCTGTTGATTTCTATAGATACTGGACTGACTATGAGAATGGATTTGGTAACCTTACTGGTGAGTTTTGGTTAGGATTGAGCAAGATTCGTCATCTTACTAAAGAAGGATCAAACACACTAAGAGTGGACCTGGGAGACTTTGATGGGAACACAGCTTATGCTAACTACTCTAGATTCAGTGTTAGTGATGGTAGTACTGAATATAAGCTAATAGTAGGAGGATACTCTGGTACTGCTGGGGATAGTCTGGCCTATCATAATGGATACAGATTCAGTACAAGAGATAATGATAATGATTTCAGGTCACCTGATAACTGTGCTCAGTCCAGCACTGGTGCCTGGTGGTATAGATACTGCTATCTTTCAAATCTTAATGGTCATTATTTTAATACTTCAACTAATAATGATCAAGGAATTGTTTGGTACTATTGGAAAGGTGCAAACATTAGTCTCAAGTTCTCAGAGATGAAAACTCGTCGTAACAATTAAATACTGTCCCCCACACACATAAGTGTGTTTACATTGTGCTGATATATTATTATGCCATTTCAATAAGCTGCCATACCTTGTAGTGATTATAATAAATATTATTTGCTGATGACTTTTATCAAATAAAATATTTTGAAGCTGATTTTAAACTATTGTGAAACTACAACACTGATAACAGCAATACAGTAACTTCAATACATTATGTAACATTGCAGGCTAATAATTACTAGTAATATCCTTTATAATAAAAAGAACAACTTAAAAACTAGCAACATTCTAAAAGTGTAGTACATACAATGTACATGTACTACACAGAATTAATTTAAAATAAAATGCTTTCAGTTCAGTCTAATTGGATTATAGTTAACTAACTATATATAACTAACATCATAAAATGAAATACACAATAATTACTACTGTATAGCTAGAAAATTTGGAGTGTTAAAACTTGGCAAATTGACTTTAAGAGGTTTGGAGGTTAAAACTTTGGCAAAATTTACAGTCTGTAGTGATTATTAATAAGTATTGACTATTAATAAACTTTAAATAATAAATTTATTAATTAATGAATCACTGTAATCTAGGCATATGTGGGTGGGTAACAGGAAACTATTATAAATGTCATTGAGCATGTACATAAAATGGTTTAGAACTAAAATGCTAGAATTTAGTCTACAACAATATTAGACTAACAAATATAAGTTCCAACTGATAAAAAAAACAAAAAAAATTATTTTTTGAAACTGCTAAATTTTCAAGGGTACATGTATGTATGAGGATTGTCCATTACAGATGTACCCACAGTCCCTTGTCAAAGTACCCTATCAGTGTATTACATTATGTTGGGATCCTGTCAGGAGAGGTATACAGCATCCTTTCAATACCCATACCCTCTTCTCAATGAGTCCACATATGTTAATAGGTATGTTCTAGCCTACTAGCAAGAGTATAAAATATTATGTACTCTTGCTAGTAGGAGTCTAGGACTGTCATAGGATATACATACCCATACCTTCTTGTCAATGTAACCTTTAGGGTACTACCATAATGTTACCAGTAACTAACAACATTAAAATAACTGATACTGATAGTCACAGAAGGTTAAGTAGGTAAACTGTTATTTTCCCTCAGACTAACTGCTCATTCAATACATGGCTTGAATTCCAGTCCTTGTCAAGGTTAGTACAGTCTAGTAAAATGTCAAAGACGTTCATCTTTATGTTGTTGCTGCTGTGTTTAATAGTTACCATTGATGAAGGAGAAGGATCTTATTGTATGGCTGATTGTACTGGATATAAACACGAACCATCACTGTATCTAAGGATATGCTGTAACAGCAGTAACTTAGGACAGACTATTCGTATGAGAGAAGGAAGAGTGAAGACTATCATCGTATGTCCTGATGTAAGGCCACAAGCCTGTCCACCAGGTGAATAAAAGACACTGCAATAATTATTTCAATACTAAATTTAGTTCTTACAGACTGTAAGGATTGGTATAACAATGGTAGCACTACTAGTGGCCTGTACAATATTAATCCTGATAGAGGGACTCCTTTTACAGTTAGTTACTAATAATATACTTGATAATTATACACTATTGGATCACAGGTATACTGTGATATGGAGACTTATGGTGGTGGATGGACTGTATTTCAGAGGAGACAAGATGGATCTGTTGATTTCTATAGGAACTGGACTGACTATGAGAATGGATTTGGTGACCTTACTGGTGAGTTTTGGTTAGGATTGAGCAAGATTCGTCGTCTTACTAAAGAAGGATCAAACACACTAAGAGTGGACCTGGGAGACTTTGAGGGGAACACAGCTTATGCTAACTACTCTACATTCAGTGTTAGTGATGGTAGTACTGAATATATACTAACAGTAGGAGGATACTCTGGTACTGCTGGGGATAGTCTGACCTATCATAATGGATACAGATTCACTACAAGAGATAATGATAATGATCACAGGTCATTTTCTAACTGTGCTCAGCAGTACACTGGTGCCTGGTGGTATTATACCTGCTATTATTCAAGTCTTAATGGTCATTATTTCAATAATTCAACTATTACTAGCCAAGGAATTATTTGGTGGTATTGGAAAAATGCACGCATTAGTCTCAAGTTCTCAGAGATGAAAACTCGTCATAACAATTAAATACTGTCCCCCACACACATAAGTGTGTTTACATTGTGCTGATATATTATTATGTCATTTCAATAAGCTGCCATACCTTGTAGTGATTATTAATAATTATTTTTGCTATTTTCTTTTATTAAATAAAAAATTTTTATTATTTCAAACTATTGTGAAACTACAACACTGATAATAGCAATACAGTAACTTCAATACATTATGTAACATTGCAGGCTAATAATTACTAGTAATATCCTTTAGAATGAATGGAAAAGCTTCAAAGCAAGCAAGATAATAAAAGTGCAGTACATCCAATGTACATGTACTACACAGAATTAATAATAAAACACTTTTACAGTGTATTTCAGACTAATTGGATTACAGTTAACTAACTATAACTAACGTCATAAAATAAAATACACAATAATTACTACCCTATAGCTAGAAAATTTCGAGTGTTAAAATTTGGCGAAATGACTTTAAAAGAGGTTTGGAGGTTAAAATTTTGGCAAAATTTTAACTCTGTGCATGCTTCTATGAAACCCTATCAAATTGGAGATTAAAGATTTGGCAAATGGACCTCAATTCGCCAAAATTTTACTCCACCAAATTTTCTAGCTATAAAGTAGTACAATGTACATGTACATGTGTACCTCCACATTCTCCTCTTCTGGTGTCATCTCAAACGAATAGCTCCTGCTCTTACTGGTAGACACAGAACTCAATAGATCAACCTCTTTCCCTTCCTTATCTATCAGTATCTTCACATACACAACAGAGTCTAATACAGACTCCTACAACAAAAATAAAAAGTGACATGATGGTTATATACACAGCCAAATAGTATCACGTTGATCAGGCTTGATTCAGACTGAAACCAGGCCTGATATCCGACATGGATTACGGATTTTGGGCAATCAGTCCTGACACAATCATGGAGTCAGCCACGGTACAGGCATGATAAGCATCTATACTGGATCAGGCCAGACCGACTTTCATGATTCAGCAGTGAATGCCAACAGGGCTGTACCAGTACTGATATCAGGCTTGAGTCATTAATTTTGGGCAACATTTTGAATCAGGCCTGAATATAATTGGCTGCGTAGGACTTACCACAACAGCAGTGGCAGAAGAAGAATCTTGAATAATATTATCAAAACGGTGACATTCCTAAATAGGAACACAAGATCACATTATAGTCATGTGACGTATTGATCAATACTTGTCTAGTAAATGTAGTCTTTTCTTTGTCAGATAAACAGCACCGAAATGCCTAAATAAAAATATGATTTTTAGTGGTGTCATGTGATAGTCATGTGACTGTGAGGAGGTGTGGTACCTGGAAAGGTAGTGCCTTGAAAGTGGATTTAAGAGCCATGACATTAGTGACAGGAACGGACTCACAGTTACCGTAATCCATAAACCTCAAGGATAGTGTGTTCTAGAGAAAGAGGGGGAGAGGGAGGGAGAGAGGGGGGGAGAGGGAGAGACAGAGGGAGGGAGAGAGAGGGAGAGTAGTGAGAAAAACAAATAAAAAGGAAAGAGAAGGAAAGAGACAGTATAAAGATGAGAAAATACATCTACATACATTGTATGTACATGTACCTCTTCGCCAATAGCTTCAACTTTGCTTCTGTACCATAAACCGTCTTCTGAAAACACAGCCAAACACAAATCCCCTAGATGACATTAAAAATAAAATGACAGCAAGCTACATGTAGGCCAGTTTTGGAAAATTGACAATAATACATGCATGTTCCAGGATGGCTTGTTGACCAAATTTTGGAGTAACTTAAAAATTCATAAAAAAATCCAATTTTGATCAGAATCTGTTCAAACTTTTACACAACATAAGAACATGTATATGTATCAGAAAATGTTATAAAAATTGAGAATTCTCTACTTGACATTTTTGGCAAAATTTGGCTGATACCCCTGTACTATAGTACAGGGACTTTGACCCAATTTTGGAGTAACTTTAAAAATTCATAAAAAATCCAAATTCAATCGGAATCAGCTCAAACTTTCTACACAATATAAAATATGTATATGCATTTGATTAAATTATAAAAATGAAGAATTCTCTTCTTTACAATTTTGGCAAAATTTTGAGCAACTTAAAAAACTATAAAAAAATCCAATTTTGTAATAAAAATATTTTCCTAGAAGTATAATTATAAGATATACTAACCTGGATTAAAGAATACTGGAGTATACTGACCCTTACTCTCAGCATGCTCCCTAAGAAAATAAAAAATAAACAAAATTAAACACTTTCCATTCCGTTGTACTGTAATTTATCAAAGAGCTTTGCATAAATGTCAGTCTCCACGTCATCCAAAGAAATCTGACACCAGAAATAACCGGAGCTATCCAAACCAGAATTAATAATAACCGAAAGCTTAGCACCTAAAATAATAGAAAAAAAACAACAAAATTAAAAATATAATTGAAAAAAAGAATGTACAGTTACTACTGTATAGCAGCTATTTTGCAGCATTTTATTCTTTTGCTGCAGATTATTATATTATTATTATTATTTGTTGAGCTATACATGTACATGTAACCCCAAATTTTAAAAGCCAAATTTCTGATCCAGCTGTCATTGGTTATCTATTGAATGCGCATTCAAACCACATATGGAGGTGGTTTGGCTTAATGAGCATTGAAGTCAATGTGCATCAGGTGTGGAATGACTGGAACCGGTTCTAAACCAGTTCAATGCGCATTAGAAGCGCTAGTGTAGAAAGGCCTTTAAAATCCTTTTAATCTACCATCTTGTACCATAGTAATAATTGATTTTCGTGGAAGTAACTTTCGTGAATCTTTCAAAAATCGCGAAATTTATAAAAAAGGTGCCCTATGGTAAAATTATAAAGATAGAACAAAATTTACTAGATGGCTATTATAATTTTTTAAAATACAAAACAGAAATCATATGATAGTCACATGACCAGTAGTGACATACCTTCAACAATCAGAGGATGATAGACAGTAGAATCAGGATTACAAGTAACTCCGCCCACCTCTTCTGCCGCTAATTGAGAACTGAGATCAAGAGTGAGTTTGGGAAGTGATTTAGTTGGAGGTGTGGTCTTTAGGGGCGAGGCCTGAGAAACGGAATCAGTATCATCAGCAGTCGTATCGGAATCAGTCGGAAGAGACAACTTATTATTAGAGCGATGAGTGAACGATCGTTTGATCTTTTGTCTCTTTTTCTCGTCCCCAAAATCAGACTCATGATCGGCATCTGAAATCAAAGTGTGTGAATCCGATTCGACGTCTTTCTTAGAGGTGGAGTCAAGAGGGGAGGAGCTTACAGAGGAGTGATCATGAACAAGGGGAGTTGAGATTAAATGATTAGCTATTAATGAAGGGGCTTCCTCATTAAAGTGAGATCCTTCATTAGCAACTGGTACAGTTTGAACATTAGTAGCTATTGGAATAGGAATACACTCAGTAGTAGTAGGACTATCATTCATTAAACCAGTATTAGAAGAACCTGTATTATCTTCAACAAGACTATTAGCAGCTGTGGTTTGTTCAGTAGTATTTTGTCCAGCTGCATAATGTACTGTAATAGTTTCTTTATCTTTAGCAGCAGCTTCCGGTCCAGTACTAGTTGCAGGTGGAGTATGTTCTTCTTTATTATCTTTAAGATTAGTAACAGCTGCTACTGATGGTAATAGGTCTGGGTTCATTTCTGTTATAGTATCATCATTAGTATCAGTACCTTCGTTAACAATGGTGGTATCAGTGTTAGAGTCAACGCTTGATTTGCGATCAGTTGAATCAGCATTATCAGTAATATTGACTCCAGTATCAACCGATTTCAAATCAACGTTATCATTATCGTCAATATCAATTTCAGTTTTGGCTGGCACAGATTCATCAATTAAATTAGTGGGAGGAGCATCAGTCAATGCAACCCCATTAGTGACTTCAGAAGCATTAATGTCAGTGTTAAGATCAGTGTTGAGATCAGTGTTAATATCAGGTTTAACACCATCAATTCCCTTTTCGTCAACACTTGAAAATGAGCTGTTACTAGTAACCAGTTCCATTGGGACCACGCCCATATCATCTTTACTATCGGCAGATAATTGGCCAGTAGCTTCATTATCACTAGCCCCACTCACTTCTAACAACCCAGTCGCCACATCAGTAGTTTCTATGACAATATCGTCTTCAATACTCTCAGTGGGTGGAGCTTCAACAACTAAACCAACTTCTGCAGTATTTGTCTTGTCTGATTCAGAGCCTTGTTGATCAGTTCCTCGTTGATCAGTTCCTTGTGGATCAGTTCCCTGTTGATCAGTTCCTTGTTGACCAGTTCCCTGTTGATCGGTTCCTTTTGATTTGGTATCAGCTCCACTCTCTGCTTGACCTGTTTCATAAGTATCTAGTAACGCAAGGACATCAAAAGGGGGCGGAGTTGAGGCATGGGCGGAGTCAGACTCAATGGGCGGAGCTTTATCGATATATCGAATATCTTTACACATCATTGGATAAGGCTAAAAGGGAGAGAAAGAGAGAGAAATTATAATAATTTAAAAGTAACAATTACATGTATACCTCTTTCTTTCTAGCAGCGACGTCTTTAACGACCTCAAGGACTCTCTCTCCAATATCAACATCATCAATGAAGAGTTGGATCGTAAATAAGGCAATGTGCGCTTCAGGAACAACACTCTGGTGAGAAATTATTAATACATAAATAAATAAATAATAATATTTTACTTTCTCCAGTATTATTGCTGTCATGCTGTTTGCGGCTGCAAGATCAGAATATTTCCATTTAGCCTACAGCAAATAATAAAGAGCATTAATTACTGTATACATGTACATCTTGTTTCTAACCTCTCTACATGTCTTCAATTGAACTGTGATATCATCAGAGAACTTACACCTACGACACTGAGAAGAGAGAGAGAGGGGGGAGAGAGAAGGAGGGAGAGAGAGAGGGGGGGGGAGTGAGAGAGAGGGAGAGATCTAGTATGTACCTGAAAAGGATACTCCTTCATTCTTGATGGTAAAGCCATTAGACAGTCATGATACAACTCCTCGGTGTTACCATAGTCAAGATATCTCACCAACATCTAAAAACATGAACACCATTAGTCTTATGCATGTTCATAATCCAAAAACATGCACATCACATGCACCTGTCACGTGTTAAGTTACTTTTTGTTCATGGTCCTTTGACATGACTTTCTCTATATATGCTCTATGCCACTGGCTGTCACGAGGATAAAATGCAGCACAAATATCACCTTGAGAGAACTGAGTATCTGTTGATCTTACTCTCCTTGAATTAGCCATGTTACTATTGGGGGAAAAGATGATTCTAAAATTGGTACAAACACTAATCTTAACACTGATACTAATACTGATTTTAAGACCAACAATAACACACACATATATATGGTACTATTGGGGAAAAATGATTCAAAACTGATAGAAACACTAATCTTAACACTGACTTTAACACTGATACTGATTAACATATATATTATGATTAGCTCACGTGAGTGTCTGAGATATTAAGGAAAGGTGTCCCAGCACAGCTGGAGTTGATGGTTCTTGTAACCAAAAGTGTCCGTTTGAATCAACATTAAGAGCAGGAGCAACTACCAGCACTGAATCACCTACAGAGAGAGAGAGAGAGGAGGAAGGGGAGAGAGAGGGAGAGAGAGAGAGAGAAAAAAGAGGGAGAGAGGAGGGAAGGAGAGAAAGAGAGAGGTAAGAGGAACAAAAAGAGAATAGAAAGAATAAATGTAGATATGTCTACCTTCATTCCATTCTGGACGATAAGGAACACAATAACTCAATATAAAGCTCTTCAGATTATTAGTATCAGGCAAAAAGCTTAACTGGCTCAGCAAAGACTCTAATTTCAATAATGAAGACTCATTTGAAGCATTAAAAACACCTTCCATATTATTAACCTAAAAAGAGAACAATTAAATAAAACATAATTTATCAATATGGCTAACTTCAGGAATTACAGTGAGGACTTGCTCTTTAAACTCTTCAACTGGCAATTCAATCAGCTGCTTTAGATCTTCTTTCATCTAGTAGGTCTGGTTATGGGTGTGGCAAAAAATGTCTTACCTGTCCCGACAGTACAATACGAGATTCACATTTTTCTTTTTCGGCAGAAGCAAGTTCAAGGCCTTCTTTATGCTTTGACTCAAAATAATTAATCAATTCCTAGTAGAGAAGTAGTAATGTTTGTCCCTCATCTCTTTACTACAGTACCTTCTCCTTGTTGTCAAGTAAAGTCCTAAGGTCACTGAAAAGGTATTTACATTCCGCTGTCAAGTTTTCTGATCTAATGAATTAATAATAAATAAATTAATTAATAGATAAGTAAATTAATTAATTAATAGATAAATAAATAAATTAATTGATAAATAAATAAATTAATTGATAAATAAATAAAATTAATTAATAATAAATAAATAAATAGCCCATGGTTACGTACATGTGTGTGTGAGAATGGGATGAGTGTACTAAGTGAATGTAAAAGTGTAAATATGTTAAAATATGATTATACCTTGTTACAACGTCTGCCTTAAGTTCTTCAGCCTTTGCAATTGATGCTTTATCCGTCTCATAAGACCTAAACACAGGAAAAGAAAAGAGACAGAGATGTATACATGTACATTCCACAAAGGTAAAATAATAAATAATGTATATACTTCTCTACTAGATCCAGCGTTGCCTTCATGTTACGTTTGAGCTACACGATAACACAAAAGATACATAAACTAACTGACAATCAAAACTAACCTCATCAACATGAACAAGATGTGTCAAGGGATGGCTACATTTTCTGTTACCAACATGAATCATGTCAGAGCAGGACTTACAGTAATAAAAAGGCTCTCCTAGTAAAGAAGAAGGAGGGGAGTCGTTACTATCCGCCATTTATGTGTGTGGTTGGTTGGTTGCCCGGAAGGCTTCACGTGTGAAAGCGTGTACGTAGCGAACTCACCGTCCATCAGGCATCCACGGCATTCTACCGAGGCAACTGCCGCCTTACACTGTTCACAGGGTGTCTCCTCTTCTATTGTGGAGAGGTTTGTTGTATCCATTGAGGAGTACATGTCTAAAGGAAGAGGAGGAGAAGGAGAGAGAGGGACAGGAGTTGCAGCCGAAACCTCCATTCGAGGGATGAGGACACGTGTGTGAACTGTAAACATCACGTGATGCACTTAATTAAGTAGTTAATTAATTGGTTATTGAATAGTTATAAAACATTTCTTAAAATGATTCTCTCCGCAAAAATTGCATTTTATAAAATTAAAACTATGTAGAGAGAAATGAGGAATGTTATATAAAGCATCGAAATGTCCAAAAATTGCTCAAAAATTAAAAGAATTAAAATCTAAAACAGTCTTCCAAGATATTTAGTTCTTGAATACTTCTCCACCAGCTGTGGCCACTGGACAATAATATCGTCAGCAATATACGAATAATACAACAAAATGGCCGAGAGAGAGAGCTTCTCTGTCCTGCAAACACTCTCGACGTAAACTAGTCTCAATTTTGAATTGACTCCAATGAATTTAAACAAATAGCCAGCCAGACAAACAGGTATGCATGTGCCAGGCCCATTACATAGAATTAGTTCTGGTCTAGCTTGAAGTAGAAGAGGTAGTGAATGAAAGAATCCTCCCAAAGTTGTGAATACGCTGCTTATGTAACTCTGTCCTACTTCCCTAGCTCGCATTATTCCCCATATTACAGGCTCCGATTCTAGTTTTTCCACTTTATTCCTACTCATGGCGTCTTTTTGAGCAACCACGTATATCCTTGGCTTGTACTGTTTTTTGTTCAGTGATGAGAGGAGTCTAGTCATTTCCATTCCGTGTCCTCCCGCCCCAACAACAATCATGGTCTTACATGGACGCCCTTTTCTGTTTGGTGAGGGTTTCCCGTACCTGCTCGCCAAGTAGAGGAACCTAAAAAGGCATAAAAGAGCAATAATGAACAAAAAAGTAAACAGAGTAAGAAAAGCCGCCATTTTAAAATAATTTAGCCACACCCAAACTAGCTAACTATTTTTAATGGTTACTGGTTAGAGAAAAGTTAGAAAACGTGGCTGAAAAATGGCAGATGGTACAGCTCGTGTTAAAGGAGGTTTCTCCTTTGAATTGTGTAAAAGGTAAGCAATTTTGAAAGCTCCATTACCTGTGAAATTAACCAGAAATGAGATGCTAAAGAAAGCAGGAATGAAGTTTCCTCAACCCAAGAAAACTGGTACAACTATTGCTGGTATCGTGTTTAAAGATGGCGTCATTCTGGGAGCAGACACACGTGCTACTGAGGTATGTTGATTAAAGTTTGCATTCCACGAAAGGCTTAAATATAATTAATCATTAATATTTATATGAAAGGAGTTATTTTTTAATTTAATTTTTAAATTTATAGGGAACTGTCATTGCTGATAAGAATTGTGCTAAAATTCATTACATTTCAAAGAATATTTAGTGAGTTTTTAAATTGCATGGATGAACCCTCTTTCTTTGTAATTTTTCTCCCCCCCCCCAGCTGCTGTGGTGCTGGTACAGCTGCTGATACAGAATACACGACTGAAACCATATCGTCCGACATAGAGCTACACAGACTATCCACCGGACGCAAAGTAGCAAAATCATTTTAAAAATTAAATTTATCATTTTTTCTATACAGCCCAGGGTTGCTACTGCCTGCAGATTATTAAAACAATATTTATATCGGTACAATATATTTTTAAAAATAAATACTATTATCATTATTTTTTGTTTTAGTTATCAAGGTCACATTGGTGCTTACCTAGTGTTAGGGGGCGTGGACACAACTGGACCACACCTCTTTACAGTACATGCACATGGCAGTACTGATAAACTACCCTACGTTACTATGGGTATGTGACATGTATGTACATGCTGGTATCAGTAATGTAATACCTGAGACTGAGTCCCTTGATGCCTGCCTTCAGCTTACCCTGAAATACCATATAGTGGGAAATTTTGGAGGGAATGAAATTTGACGTTTTGATAGCCATTTGCTAAAATAAAATCTGCCATTTTGAGCCTTTATACACATGCTCAATAGTACGTGGCCACTAATTTGCCAAATTCAAATCCGCCAATCGCCAAAATTTAGCAATTCGTCAAATTTAACTCCCTCCAAAATTTCCTGCCATACTGTGGTAGATATCTGAGCACTTAGGTATTACATTACTAATAGAGACACTTGACTTTGTTACTACAGACATAATAATTATTATGTTCATTTATTATTTGTAGGATCTGGTTCTTTAGCAGCAATGGCTGTATTTGAGTCTCACTATACTCCTAATATGGGGGTAAAAAACATACAATCTCTGTCCAATTTTTCTTGTCTTCCTTTTTTTAGGTTGAAGAAGGGAAGAAACTTGTCCGCGATGCAATTGCTGGTGGTATTTTTAATGATCTGGTATGTCACTCTTAGTTCTATGGAAAGCCATCAATAATTTTTTCTTTATTATAGGGTTCTGGTAGCAATGTTGATTTATGTGTTATCACTGCTGATGGTGTGGACTATATCAGACCTTATGATGTTGCTAATGTTAAGGGAGAAAGGTAAAGAGAGATGGAGAGAGAGAGAGAGGGATAGAGCAAAAGAGAAAAGATTAAGGTTTCTAAATGAAAGAGAAATCAAGAGGTATTTTAATTTTTTTTTCTAGGGTTGGTGATTACACATATAAGAGGGGTACAACAGGTATTTGTGTGTGCATAATGATGAAATTAATAAGTATATATATATGTGTATCTTCCTCCTTTAGCTGTGCTAGATACTACTGTGAGGCACTTTGAGATCGTTAGCGAGAGAGTCCAGTCGACTGAATCAATGGAGACATGAACTGTTATACTCCCTTATTTTATAACTGTCAGACTACTAGTTATTAGTTTATTACAATCAATAAATTGATTTTTAATAACTAGTTAACTACTTTTAATCAAAATGGCGCGAACTAAGTGTATTTGACACGTTAATACCTTTCTTTATTTCTCTCTGTTTCTGTTTGGATAGTTTCATAAATGGAGGATATTTCAGAGGAAGAAAACGAAGCCACAAGTCAAGAAGATGTCTTGGACTATCATCAAAAAGAGCTCAAAGAACAACGCGAGCACCACCTCTACCAGCTGAAATCACTACAAGGCCAACTGCTGGATAACCTGATAGCCTACGTTTCAGACTCAAATGAGTCTGTATCGCCTGATATCCGGCAAAGGATCCTCTCCTCGATAAAAAGAGAATCAACCACCAGCTGTGATACTCAAACCACGCAACAGACCATCTCCAGCAGTTATCCTGATTCCCTTCTCCTCTCTCATTCGAATGTGTCACGCAATGACAGTGGTACCAGTGATACGCTCCGTGATACGTCTAGCGGTACGCTGGTAGAAAAATGGGCGACACCAGTGGAGTCTACTACTTCGGGTCGTACTTTGAATTCTCAAGCTGTGATCACTTCTCTCCATTCTTCTCCTTCTCTCCCTCCTACTCTAAATAAAGAATGCATAAATGAAAGTGAATCTCCGCTTCCGGAAAACTCTTCTCATAATTCTTCCATCTTGACTCCACCCTATTTGACTCCGCCCAAACAAGCCTATAATCCTTCGGCATCTCCGGAAAATACTCAGCAGGCTTGCCGTTCTCCTCTCTCTCCAATTTCTAATAATAATGCTTCAAGAAGTCTCATTCCAAAGACTCTGGTTCCAAACCCTTCCAGTATGGAAGTTTTGGTGTCTGAGAATGAGTCTTTGAGGATTAGGAATGGACAACTCAATGAAGAACTGGAGCAGTTTAATAGGTTTGTGTGTGCATGTACATGATGAGTAGTTATTATTTTTTTGTTTTTGTTTTTAGTATCAATTCTCTTTTGAAAGAACAAATGAGTAAAATGAAGAGAAGTTTGGTAAGAATTTATTTTTAATTAATATTTTATGATGGATTTTGCAAATTAAAATTAACATGTATTAATTTTGCTCCAATTACATGTACATGTACTTGTAAACTACATGCATCTATTAAGTATTGGAAAGTGTCGTAGTCATTTGTAGAAATTTTTGATATTGACATTTGAAGATCTGATGTGTGCATGGACATTTTCTCTCTTAATTTTCTCAGACTCATTTTGAAGAAGAGCGAAAGTCTCAAAACAAGCTAATGAGTTCTCTACATTATCAACTGTCGGGAGCGATAAATCAGTTGAGAGAACAAGAAGATATCAAAGAAGAACTAACAAAACAGCTTCACACTTTAAGAATGGTAGAATTATTACTTAGATACAAATTATTTTATTTTTTTATTAATGGACACATATCCCTTTGTCTCTATATTTTGAAGGAGTTAGATGATGTAAAGCAAAAAGATGCGGAGAAAAAAGAGCTGTATAAAAACGTAAGCATACATGATCTACAGTTACTTAGTAGTTATTACTTTATTTTAATCATTTTCTTACTTTATTACTATAGAAAGAAGTTGAGAATGCTGAACTACGTGATGAGAATTCCTTCCTTCGTGTAAGACGTGCATCACATGATCGTCATGCAACTATAAAGCATTTGGTTCCTTGTATAGGAAGATGTGAAGGTTTTGGAGAGACAGTTGAAGAATCTACAAGACGAGACACTACAGCTGCAAAGTCTAATGGATAGACAAAGGATTCAAACTGAGCAGTATCAGAGGTGAATGGGCTACCCCTCTTTCTCCTCCCTCCATCTTTAAATTTCTTTTTATACCTCTATCTTTCATATTTTTTCTCTAATATTTCCCCCCCCCCCTCTCTCTCTCTCTTTCTCTCAGTGCTTTGGCTATGATGGATGATGAACTTCAGAGATTACGTCTTATTGAGCGATACCCATCCCCACAGCAGTAAGAATAAAAACAATAACTTTTAAAATTTTTTATTATTTTTAAATGTTAAATAAAATTTATTATGTAATATTTCAATAATTATTTTCAATAATATTTTTAGGTATTTGCGTAGTCTTGATCGAAATAAGACTCCACCTCCTCCTTGTCACACACCCTCACCTCCTCACCACGCCCCCTCAACTACTAGCCACACCTCTCCTCCTACTCACCACGCCCCCGCATTTAATTACACGACCTCACCAAAAGTACAGCGACGTCCGCTTACTCGTAAGAGATGGCTGGAGACGAGCGAAAACGGATTTATTTTTGGTACTCCTCCACAAAAAGAGCTTCAAGTGTCTCCTCAAAACACTACAAGTAATTTGACTCATTACTTTTATACTGCCTCGTAAAATTTTTTGATTGCCCATTTTATTTTTTGGATTGTCTGTTGTTTTTTTCAATAGAAAGTGCTACTCAGTTGTCACCAGTTGATGCTGCACTAGATGCAATTCGGACTAAACGTGTCACTACCGCTTCTCCTCCTGCTGTTAGGAAAAGACAGGTATAGTATTAAGATATTATTTAGGATATTATGTTTTAAAAAATTCATAAAAAATTTTATTTTGATCGGAATCAGCTCAAACTTTCTACACAACATAAGAATGTATATATTTATCAGAAAAAATTTTTTTAATTGAAAATTCTCACCTTTTAAATTTTGGTGAAATTTGGCCAACGTCCCTGTACTATAATACAGGGACTTTGACCCAATTTTTGAGCAACTTTAAAAATTCATAAAAAATTCAATGTTAATCGGAATTGGCTCCAACTTTCTACACAACATAAGAACATGTATATGTATCAGAAAATGTTATAAAAATCGAGAATTCTCTATTTGATATTTTTGGCAAAGTTTGGCCGATGCCCCTGTACTATAGTACAGGGACTTTGACTCAATTTTTGAGCAACTTTAAAAATTTGTAAAAAATCCAAATTTGATTGGAATCAGCTCAAACTTTCTACACAGCATAAGAACATGTATACGCATCAGAAAATGTTATAAAAATTGAGAATTCTCTACTTGACATTTTTGGCAAAATTTGGCCGACGCCCCTGTACTATAGTACAGGGACTTTGACTCAATTTCTGAGCAACTTTAAGAATTCATTAAAAATCCAATTTTGATCGGAATCAGCTAAAACTTTCTACACAACATAAGAACGTGAAATACCCTGTACTAACTTCTTCCAAAGTGTCCATTTTGCAGAGTCTCCATTATATGTGTCTCTAATATTAGGGTCTTGAGGAACGCGTAGAAGAGAGACTAAGGATTACAAGAGAGGCTGAGCAAAGACTCACAGTGCTACAGAAAGAGAAGGCAGAAGTGAGAGAGTGTTTATCTTCTATTGCATGTTATTACTGTTTCTTTACAGCTTGAATCATTCTTACAACGAGGGCCACCAAATAATAGAGTTACTGCAGAATACATGCAAAGAAAGGTATAATCTAAATAATGCATGTAGTAATTAGCTTTAAAATGATACTTTTTATGTCTACATATAAATCTCTTACTACTAATAGTTTGATAGGATTTTCTTTTCTCACAGAATGAAACAGAGAGGAAGTTAGATCATGTCTTGAAGGAGATTGGAGCAGTGAGGATGATCATAAGGAACCCAACATCTTGGAAGATATAATATCACATGTACACTTTATTATAGACTTGATTTATTCACTCACAATTAAATATATTCATTTCATACCTCCTCTCACTATGAAACTAATACTCACCTTTTGTAGATCATAGATTAGAGGAGCTACCATTGTCCATTGTACATACATGTCAGTTTTATTAGTACATAAACTAGGTACAGCATGGGTTGCTTTTCCAATCATTACATACATTCTCCATCATTGCCCTTTGTATGCTTCACAGAAACTTAAAGTTTGAGCCGACACTAAAGACTGAACACAAATTAAGATTTAAAAGGCCCATTCTACCATTTAAAGACTAGACTTGTATTCATAAGTTTAAGACCATGAATAACTTTGCTCTCATTGTTGTTTTGCTGTAATGGCGTCTTTATGTACATGTATATTAGCTGCCATTGCCTTATCCCTGCCAACTGTTGATAGTCTTGCCTGCTCCTACAGTTTCCCAGACTATCATAATCCGCAGACGTGTGCTCGGTACGATCTCACTGAACTCTCTCTCCGTGGACCATATAACATCACACCTCCTTACCCATATAGATTTCTGGTTAAGGTATGCAAAATATTTATTTATTGATACACTTTTTATCATAATTATTCTAGGTTTGTGATCTAGCAGCAACAGATCTTCCTTGGGCTTGTGAAGGAAAAGACTTAGCCCCAGCTTATGCCTACAGTGTTGAAACTGATGAATGCTATCAGTTGGGGAATCTTGAAAATGATTTTGCTGTAAATGAAAAGAAATATAATACAGACTGTGTTCAATGCTTGTTTTATTGCAGTATCCATTGGATCCAATGAACAGTTCAGTTGGCATTAGGGTTGCATACACCAATGGAGGTATATCATTGTTTTATGTGTCACATTCATAATGTGTTGTGTATTATAGTTGGTGGTAATGGAGTGTGGCCAAGAGCTGTCATATATGATCTTTACTGTGACACGTCTGGATTCAATCCACCACCAGAGTTTGCTTATGAGTATCCAGAATACACCTACAGAAGTATGCCTTCTAGCTAACAATTGTATATCTATGATAATAAAATGATTATTATTTTTGGTTCTAGTTACATGGCGGACTGGATATGCTTGTCCATCATTTCAAACTGGACAAAATTGCTCCCTACCCAAGTTTGAAAGCAGCTGGGATGTAAGTGGCTTTACTTTTAAAATGTCTAATGAACATAATTTGTTTTTAGTATCTTCGTTTTCGAACTGTCCCAAAATGGTTTGAAAAAGCTAAATTTGGGATTTTTGGTAAATGAATAGAGAATATCTCATTATTGAATTCATTTTTAGTATGCCTTGGCCTGTACAGTGTTCCTGCATACTTGAATGAATGGTACTGGGAAAAATTGATGACTGGTGATCCAAGATATGTTGAGTTTCATAATAAGAACTATGGATGCAGTGGAGTCCAGCCTGATAAGTTTCCATGCACTGGACCACCTTTCACGTATGTAAAAATAAAAGTTGATGCAATATTCATAAAGCTTTTGTTTATAGTTTTCAGGATTTTGCTCCAATGCTTAAAATGGAACTGTTTGATCCAGACCACTGGGCTAGTGTAATTAAAAATGCTGGAGCTAAATGTAAGAGAATTATGGTGTTAAATATATTATTACTAGTACTATAGACATTGTATTTACTACTAAGCACTGCAGTGGATGGACAAACTTCCCTAGTCCACAGCACTGGAACTGGAACAGCATGGATGTTGGGCCACACTTGGATATAACTGGTAATTTGACAGCTAGCATTAGAAAACAAGGACTCTACTTGGGACTGTATCATAGTCTCAATGAATGGTATCATCCATTATATCTGGAGGTAGATCTGGATCTATACTGTTATAGCAATAGTATTTTGTTACTAATAGGATCAAAAGAATAATTGCTCAACTACATCATTTGTTGATGAAATTATCATGCCAACATTGAAGGATATGACTATTAAATATAAAGTATGACAAATTTGCAATCAGATTGTTTTGTCTTGACTATACAATGTTCTAGCCTGATATTATATGGGCTGATGCACCTGGTGAAAATAAGTCCCCATGTACTCATGATTCAGTTAAATATTGGAAGGCACCTGAATTCTTTAGTTGGCTTTATAATGAGAGTCCTGTTAAGGAGACTGTACTGACTAACACCAGGTATGCTTGGTTGCTTTATTGTTGTAATTGTATGATATAAATTGCAGGTGGGGTAGTAATGCTGTTGGTAGTTTCATGGAAGGTGGAGATAGATTCACTCCTTACACTCTTATTAAGAATAAATGGGAGACTCCATACACAATACAAAAGTCTTCCTGGGGATATGACAGAGTAGAAGATTTATCTTCTTTCTGGAACACAACTCACTGTCTATACATATTAGTAACTACAGTCTCTTGCAATGGGTATTTAAAATCGAATATTTTAAGTTTATTATTTTTGAATTTTAATAGCAATCTATTGCTTAACATTGGTCCTATGGCCGATGGTACAATTGATCCACTTTTCGAGGAGATATTGGGAGAGATGGGACAATGGTTAACAGTCAATGGTGAGGCTATCTACAACAGTATACCATGGAGTCATCAGAATGACACTCCAGCAGAAGATATATGGTACACAGCATCTGAAGTTAGTTTGAAATAAATCAACTGCTTAATATTTCATTATTATAATACATAGGACTGGCAGAATGTCTATGCTATTTCTTTTAGAGCTCCTACACCAGGCAATCATTAATATTTTAAAATTTATAAAATATTTAATTTGCTTTTTCAGGTGGAGAGCTTGTACTGCAACAGCCTAGGCTTACAAAACAGACCACCATGACAATGCTAGGAGCTGATGGTATCACTCTTGATTTCACTGTTGATTCTGATGGAGGGATTCACGTTCATTTTCCAACTAACCTACCTTTTGCTAAGCTTGCTGGTAAAGGAGCTTGGACCATAAAAATGACAAACGTCACATAGCACTTTGTGACATTTTTATAGCTGCCTTTTCTTATTTTTTGCAACTTGAGCTGTTTGCAAAATGAGCCCCACCCTTTTTCTGCAAATTTATTAATGAGCACCGCCCTACTACCTCAATGGCATCCAAAACTCTCCTGCTGGCTGCTGTTGCTGTATTTTCTCTTTCCCTACCAACCGCAGTCTCTTCTTTAGAGTGTAGTTACGTGTTTCCGGAATTCCAAAACCCACGGACCTGTCTTGAATATGACTTAACTACCCTCTCTACTTATGGGCCTTATAACATCACTCCTAATGGACCAACTGGGTTTAGATATTTGATTAAGGTACTGTACATATATCTATGTCCGGCCATGTATATGCAATGAAAAATTATATACTCTTGATGTAATGTATGTGCATGCAATTTATTTTACATTCAATTTATTTATAACAATTTATTTTGTAGATATGTGACTTAGCATCAACAGATAGACCAGATGCTTGTGCCAGTAAGCCATTAGCTCCTGCTTATGCTTATAATGTTGAAACTGATGAGTGCTATGCACTGGGCAATCTTAAATATGATTTTGCTGTAAGCCGTGCTTGCATGATGTACAAACAAAATAAATTAACATTCACTTTAGTATCCATTGGATCCAACTAACAGCAGGGCTGGTATTAGAGTTACCTATACCAATGGAGGTATGCATCATACATATACAAAAAGATATTTCATATATTTATTTATTTTTTGAGTAGATGGTGGGAATGGAGTATGGCCTAGAGCTATCATCTATGATCTCTATTGTGACACTTCTGGCACTGTTAAGACTCCAGAATTCTCATATGAATATCCTGTGGATACATACAGATGTATGCATCCTGTGATATTGTATATTGGCTTTATAGTATGTATATTTTATATTACTTGTAGTTACATGGAGGACACATTATGCATGTCCACTTGTACAGACTGGAAGGACTTGCTCTTTACCGAAATTTAATAAGACATGGGATGTATGTTAATAATAATTAAGGATTGCAAATTAGTCTGATTTATAGTCACTTCGTTTTCGCACTGCTCCATCTTGGTACGGGAAAGAAAAATTTGGTATATTTGGTTAGTGAAAATAATTATTAAAATATTATTTTACTTAACTCATTTCTAGTATGCCTTGGTCTGTACAGTGTTCCAGCATACTTGAATGAATGGTACTGGGAGAGGCTGATGACTGGTGATCCAAGGTATGTTGAGTTTCATAATAAGAACTATGGATGCAGTGGAGTTCAACCGAAAAAATTCCCATGCACTGGACCACCTTTCACGTATGTAAAACTAAAATTAATTGTTGCAGTGCTAAGTTTTTAAATTTCTGGTTTAGTTTTCAGGATTTTGCTCCAATGCTTAAAATGGAACTGTTTGATCCAGACCACTGGGCCAGTGTAATTAAAAATGCTGGAGCTAAATGTAAGAGAATATTAAAATCATGAGTGTTACTATTGACTTTATAATAAGACATTGTATTCACTACTAAGCATCACAGTGGATGGACAAACTTCCCCAGTCCACAGCACTGGAACTGGAACAGCATGGATGTTGGTCCACACTTGGATATAACTGGTAATTTGACAGCTAGCCTTAGGAAACAAGGAATCTATGTGGGGCTGTATCATAGTCTAAGAGAATGGTATCATCCATTGTATTTGGAGGTAAATCATGTAAAATATTATGACTTTTACGATACTTTTTTGCTACTATCAGGATCAAAAAAATAATTGCTCTACTACTTCATTTGTTGATGAAGTTCTAATGCCAACATTGAAGGATATGACTCTTAAATATAAAGTATAACACTCACATCATTTTGCCTTTATTACTACACAATAGCCTGATATTATATGGGCAGATGGACCAGGTGATGCCCCATGTACTCATGATTCAGTTAAATATTGGAAGACTCCTGAATTCTTTAGTTGGCTTTATAATGAGAGTCCTGTTAAAGAGACTGTACTAACCAACACCAGGTATATTTGATTGCTTCATTGTTGTAATTTGATATAAATTGCAGGTGGGGTAGTAATGCTGTTGGTAGTTTCATGGAGGGACATGATAGATTCACTCCTTACACTCTTATTAAGAATAAATGGGAGACTCCATACACAATACAAAAGTCTTCCTGGGGATATGACAGAGTAGAAGATTTATCTTCTTTCTGGAACACAACTCACTGTCTATACATATTAGTAACTACAGTCTCTTGTAATGGGTAAATGGAACTTTGTAATTTTATTGATAATATTTACTGTAGTAATCTATTGCTTAACATTGGTCCTATGGCTGATGGCACCATTGATCCTCTTTTTGAGGAGATATTGCTAGAGATGGGACAATGGTTAACAGTCAATGGTGAGGCTATCTACAACAGTATACCATGGAGTCATCAGAATGACACACCAGCAGAAGATATATGGTACACAGCATCTGAAGTGAGTTTGAAATAGCTGCTCAATGTATATCATTATTACTAATACAGGACTGGCAAAATGTCTATGCTATTTCTTTCAGAGCTCCTACACCAGGTAATCATTAATATTTCAGATTTTTAGAATATTTAATTTGCTTTTTCAGGTGGAAAGCTTGTACTGCAGCAGCCTAGGCTTACCAAACAGACCACCATGACACTGCTAGGAGCTGATGGTATCACTCTTGACTTCACTGTTGATTCTGATGGAGGGATACATGTTCATTTTCCAACTAACCTACCTTTTGCTAAGCTTGCTGGTAAAGGAGCTTGGACCATTAAAATGACAAACGTCACATAATATTAAGAGCCTTGATAAAATGCATAAAATAGCTACATCATCCCTTTGCTGCCTAAATTTATGATTGCTTTTTAACTTTATTCACAGTTTGCAGAACATAATGAGCCCCACCCTTTCTGCTGCAATGGCATTACACATACTCCTAATCCTCTCTGCTTTTGTGTTCACGACTGTGATAGCTCAGGACTGCAGTTATGTTCTTCCAGAGTACCAGAATGATCATGCTTGTCTTGAATTTGATCTAGCTCCTTTAGCTGACCTGGGCTCATACAATGTGACTCAAACTGGGGCTTATGGCTACAACTATATGGTGAAAGTAAGTCCTTCATTTGTCATTCATGTTATATTTATATTTAATAGGTTTGTGGCTCAGCAAATGCTAGTGAATTACCTGCTGCTTGTGCAGGGAAGCCATTAGCTCCTGCATACGCTTTCAACGTTGCTAATAATGACTGTTATGTCCTTGGTGACCTAAAACATGACTTTACTGTGAGCTAATAAATTAATAATAACGATAATAATAATTGTTTCTGTAGTATCCAGTTGATCCATTAAACACTGGTGCTGGAATCAGGCTAGCATACACTAATGGAGGTATTGATTAAATTAGATCTATTCATACAAATTAATATGTTTCATGGATTATATAGAGGGTAACAATGGAGCTTGGCCCAGAGCTGTTGTATATGACTTATATTGTGATACGTCTGGTGAAGACAAACCACCAAATTTTGCTTATGAGTTTCCAGCACTTACTTACACATGTAAGTAGCTTGTAAATAATATTCCATTTATACAAATATAATATAGTTACATGGTATACAAAACATGCCTGCCCTCTTGTTCAGACAGGACAGGTCTGCTCCCTGCCCAAGTTTAATAGCACTTTTGATGTAAGATATAACTGTTTTGTATATAAAAGCACTTTTCACTTTTTAGTCTCTTCGTTTAAGAACTGCTCCAACATGGTTTAATAAGGTGAAATTTGGCATATTTGGTAATATATTTGGAACTATTTGTGGATTTATTAAACTTAACGATTTATAGTATGCCTTGGTCTGTACAGTGTTCCTGCATACTTGAATGAATGGTACTGGGAGAGGTTGATGACTGGTGATCCAAGGTATGTTGAGTTTCATAATAAGAACTATGGATGCAGTGGAGTCCAGCCTGATAAATTTCCATGCACTGGACCGCCTTTTACGTATGTAAAGTTAAAAGTTGCTGCAGTATTCATAAAGCTTTTGCTTAGTTTTCAGGACTTTGCTCCAATGCTTAAAATGGAACTGTTTGATCCAGACCACTGGGCTAGTGTAATTAAGAATGCTGGAGCTAAATGTAAGACAAAGTTTAATATGTTATTGTTGACATTACTTTTTAATAGACATCGTATTCACTACTAAGCATCACAGTGGATGGACAAACTTCCCCAGTCCACAGCACTGGAACTGGAACAGCATGGATGTTGGGCCACACTTGGATATAACTGGTAATTTGACAGCTAGCCTTAGGAAACAAGGAATCTATGTGGGACTGTATCATAGTTTAAGAGAATGGTATCATCCATTGTATTTGAAGGTATGCTTTATCATGGTAAAGAGTGAAGGATTATGTTCATTTTAAAACTAATAGGACCAACAGAATAATTGCGCAACTACATCATTTGTTGATGAAGTTCTAATGCCAACATTGAAGGATATGACTCTTAAATATAAAGTATGACATTCACATCATTTTTTATTAATTACTGCACAATAGCCTGATATTATATGGGCGGATGGAGCAGGTGATGCTCCATGTACTCATGATTCAATTAAATATTGGAAGACTCCTGAATTCTTTAGTTGGCTTTATAATGAGAGTCCTGTTAACATGACTGTACTGACCAATACCAGGTATGGAGATATATCTACAAATATCATATATTTATGTGCCATAGATGGGGCAGTAATTCTGTTGGTAGTTTCATGGAAGGTGGAGATAGATTCACTCCTTACACTCTTATTAAGAATAAATGGGAGACTCCATACACAATACAAAAGTCTTCCTGGGGATATGACAGAGTAGAAGATTTATCCTCTTTTTGGGACACAACTCACTGTCTATACATATTAGTAACTACAGTCTCTTGTAATGGGTAAATGGAATATTTTAATCTTATTATTTAACTTTTAATAGTAATCTATTGCTTAACATTGGTCCTATGGCTGACGGTACCATTGACCCTCTTTTTGAGGAGATATTGCTAGAGATGGGACAATGGTTAACAGTCAATGGTGAGGCTATATACAACAGTATACCATGGACTCATCAGAATGACACTCCAGCAGAAGATATATGGTACACAGCATCTGAAGTGAGTTCAAAGTACATCAGCTGCTTAAGATTTCATTATTATAATACATAGGACTGGCAGAATGTCTATGCTATTTCTTTCAGAGCTCCTACACCAGGCAATCATTATTAATTCTGTTATCTTTTAATATTTAATTTGCTTTTTAGGTGGAGAGCTTGTACTACAGCAGCCTAAACCTTCTAAACAGACCACCATGACACTGCTAGGAGCTGATGGAATCACTCTTGATTTCACTGTTGATTCTGATGGAGGGGTACACATTCACTTTCCAACTAACCTACCTTTTGCTAAACTTGCTGGTAAAGGAGCTTGGACCATTAAAATGACTAACGTCACATAATATGACAAGCCTTGATGTAATATCTGTGCATTAACTGACATTTGCTGTTCTTATTTTGCTAATTGCTTTTTAACTTTGCAACAAAATGAGCCATTCTTTCTGCACTTTGCTGTGAATAATAATCTATTGTAGTATGGAGAATGACAATGGAGTTTGTAATATGATGATCATGCTTGAGCTAAATCATTGCATGCCCAGCCCCGCCCTTTCCCCTGCATCTCCATGCAGAGAAATGTTTGTCACTCTCAGTATTTCTTTCTTGGTTCTTGGAGGAGCTATTGGTCTTGACAATGGCCTTGGTAAGACTCCACCAATGGGCTGGAACTCATGGAATCACTTCAACTGCACCATAACTGAAAAGATTGTGAGGGCAACTGTCACAGCTATAATAGAAAAGGGTCTTGACAAACATGGCTACAAATATGTTAACCTTGATAACTGCTGGGCTGCTAGTAGCCGTGCTTCAGATGGTACCATACAACCTAATCCAACTACATTCCCAGACATGAAAGGACTCATTGATTTCGTGCACAGTAAAGGTTTAAAGTTTGGCCTTTATAGTGATGCTGGGTATTATACCTGTGGTAAGCGCCAGCCTGGATCACTAGGATATGAAACAAAAGATGCAAATACATATGCAGAGTGGGAAGTGGACTACCTCAAGTATGATAATTGTGAAACAGATGGAAGCAAGCCTGAGGTACGCTATCCTGTCATGAGGGACGCACTCAATAAAACTGGACGACCTATCTTCTATTCATTGTGTGAGACTGGCAAAGATAATGTATCACTTTGGGGACCTAAAGTTGGTAATAGTTGGAGAACTACTAGAGATATTGGAGACTATTGGGATAAGTAGGTCAAAACAACTAACAAGTATTTATGATTAATCGTGTTACTTTAGAATGATATCACGTGCTGATGTAAATGCTGACTTGTGGCCATATGCTGGTCCTGGTGGTTGGAATGATCCTGATATGCTTGAAGTTGGTAATGGAAATATGACATTTGAGGAGTATAAGACACATTTTAGCTTGTGGTGTCTAATGAAGGTAAAACACTATAATTTATGTTGCAATTAAATTATTTGATAGGCTCCACTTTTAATTGGATGTGATATTACCAAAATGAGTGATGATACTTTTAAGATACTCACTAATGATCACGTCATTGCCGTCAATCAAGATCCTCTTGGCATTCAAGGGAACAGGACAAAGCAAGACGGTACCAATGAAATATGGCAAGTACCAATGAAAGATGGGACAAGAGTTGCTCTGGCTTTTAACAGAGGTGATTCAGCTAGTGACATTACAATACAATGGACTGATATTGGATTTCCTAACTCTGCTGTAAGTCCATGTAATGCCCATCCAATTACTTATTAATTATTTTTACTAGTCCGTTAACGTGTATGACTTGTGGGATGATAAAAAGATGATTGGTAAATTCACTGGATCAGTCACTGCTAAAGCGATACCATCCCATGGAGTGGCAATGTATCAAGTAGAGCCGGTCTCTACATAATTTTTGACTATAGGCAGCTATAGTGCATTTAATTATGCTGCTGAGTTGTAAAATGCTATGCTACCTTGTTGCAATCAATATAGACAAGAAATGAATGCTATTAGTAGACCAAATTGGTATGAGATGCTGTAAGTCGATATGTAGGGTGAGATAATATAGATGACTGAATACTCTTGAGCAGTTTGAGTTTTAAATTCTGTGGTCAAACCCAGTGTTTTGCAGATGGAGAACTTGTACACAGCAGCCTAGATATTCAAATCAGCAAGTAGGAGCTGATAGAGTAAGTCTTTTCTTGACCAGAGGCTGCCATGCCACAAAAGCGACAAACGTCACGTCATTATTAGCTGACGTCATAGAAGATCAAAGAGATGTAATTGTATTCATAGTGCTGACTAGGCGAACCCACAATTGCCTTTTCCTTTTTTTCTCTTTATAAGCAAAGAAGCTGTACGTCATTCTCTAACTTACTTGGCGTGGGGGTCACCGTGATCCCGAAGGCGGTGCCCCCAGGTGGAGGCCTGGCATTGCACACCGTCGGGCTGAACCCTGCGATTTCCCAAACGGGAAACTCGGACGCATAATTTTTGGTAGGAGGGGGCTGCGTTCGCGCGCCCCCTTTCTGTTTCACCTAACAATTAAACAATAATTACACATAATAAAGTTACATTATTACAGCACCAGCATTTATGAAGAGAATACTAAAACTATATCAAAAAACTGAAAGAGAAGTTGGTTACTTCAAAAAAATTAAGTAGATAATTATAATAAATAATATTAATTAATTAATTTCTATTTTCTTCATTCAGCTGCCCACTTTAATATTAATTTCTTCTTTCAGCAGCCCACTTTCTGAAGGCGTCGTAAGCAGCTTCTAAAGTTGAGTCCTCCTACAAAAATCAATGAATCATCACTTTACTATTATTATTATTATTATTATTATTATTATTTTATTTATTTTATTATTTTTAACCATAACAATATTATTACGTATTGACAAAAATACAAATGTAGGATAGGTTAGAGATTATTATTATTAATGAACTTTACAGCACAAAAGCAAAATGTATAACACATTACTTTGCAAAAGCAGAATCGGATCAGCCCATCACTGATGTATCTGTGCTCCGGTGAAAAGAAGTAAGATGGTGGTATAGCTGCAATACGCTATAATGATAAGAAGATACAAACAATAATTGATTTTAATTGTAACCTTTTCTTTTGTCATCCACTTTGCAAACTGTACGTCGTATGGTTCAGAGCCAGTGGATTCATCAAATTTTATTCCTGTAATAATTATTAAATAAAAAAGAGAAAACCAATTATTATTATTATAAATATGATAAAATGAATGTACAGCAACATGAATAAAATAGAATACTGTTGCACAATTATTATATCAAATTTACCAAGATTTGCTGTATCTGCTAAAAGGAAGTATCCTCCTTCTGGTACAATGGGTGTAAGACCAACTTCTTTCAAAACTTGAATCATCCTATCTCGTTTCTTTAGCAATAAAGACGGCAGCTCTTTGAAGTAGCTTCCTTCCTCTCCTAGTCTCGCCATCTCAGTCTCTATCCCAATAGCTACTGCTTCCTAGTAACAAAGAAATAAAGGCTTACAAAATAAAATGCCTCTTTAATTACAAAATAAAAATAAATTTGTTGCTAAATGCTAAATATATTGTTTATAATGTATGCAGTATATGAATGTGTGTGGTATTTATAATTACCCTGTAATTAATAACCTTTATTGATAGCCCATTACTAACCTGAATTGGAGTGGGATTAGTGTATGCCGTATTACTATTAATTGTCATCATATTCTTAATTAAAGGGGCAGGCCCAACACTCCAACCAAGCTAAGAGAGAGAGAGAGAGAAAAGCAATCAGCGAATCACTAGTAATAGGCAATTAATTATATTCACCTTCCATCCAGTTGCACTAAATGTCTTCCCTGCACTGCCCACAGTAATGGTCCTCTCCCACATTCCTGGTAAAGTGGCAATGCGTACATGCTCTTTCCCAGGGTATATCAGCCACTCGTACACTTCATCACTTATACAGATCACATCATTACTGATACACAGCTCAGCTATTGCTCCTAGCTCTGATCTTGTGAATACCTTAAAGATAATAGGCCCAATACTGAGTACTATTATAATAATAATTATTATTAAATATCTATTATTATTATTATTATTATTATTATTATTATTATTATTATTATTATTCTTCAATAATACATAATTACAGAGGCATACATGTAAGTTATGGTAAGATAAAATTAGTATTTATAGAATAATTATTGCTATTAATGTAATATGCTTTCTGCATGTATACTAATTTGCATTCTAAATGTAAAGGCATTTATGTTTACATGCTGTAATTATGCTAACTTTTCCTGTTGGGTTGTTAGGATTATTGATAATAATGGCTTTCGTTTTTGGAGAAAAGGCACTCTTCAGCTCATCCATATCTAGTGCCCAGCCACTGGAAGTGAGTGGATATCGACCTTCTCCTTTGTCCTATTTTAAAATAATAATTATAATAATTCTTTACTTGCTGGCTTGCTTACAGCACTTGCAGATGGTCTTAGAGGCACAAAAACTGGCTTGCCACCTGCCATACAAACCATGGGATTGTAGCAGTCAAAGAAAGGCTCAACCAGAATGACCTACATAGTGAGAGACAGACAGGAAGTTGTTAATGAGATTCACGAGCTTCTAATGATATTCACGAGCCTATAATGATATTCATGTGCGTTTTGAGTGCGACCCACAATAGCCCTTTACAAAATATTGCTATATAAACCAGAGGCTTGCCATGAGAATGTTAACTTACCTGGCACAGAGGATACCGTGATCAATAAGGCGGTTCCTTCACATGGAGGCTTGGCATTGCACTCAGCTGGGCTGAAGTGTGCGATCTCCCCAAACGTGGGAGACTCGGGTGCGCAATTTTTGGTAGGGGGGGACTGCGTTCGCGCGTCCCCCATCTCAAAATTTTAAATTAAATATTTAAACAATAATCACAATTATACATATTTCCACATGCATACATTTTATACTTTAAAAGAATGATTTCAGAGTTTCTGTAGAGTTATAAGACCTTACCAAAATTTTAGGAACCCTTGGAATAACAATTCTGGTGAACTATTGCACTAACAATTTTAATCACTTGAGACTCTTAGTAGATAGAACCTTGGCAAAATTTTAGGAACCCTTGCAATACAATCTTGGGAGCTATTGCACTTAGAGAGCCTTAGCAAAATTTTAGGAACCCTTACAATAACAATCTTGGGGAACTATTGCACTAACAATTTTAATCAAGAGTTTAATAAGAACAATTGTAAAAACAAATGAATTTCCTGATGTGTTAAGCAATTGTTTCATGTCACAACTAGCAAAAATTATACGAAACGTAAAAGTATACCTCATCTCCTTCGTTAACATGTCCTTGAATTGATTGATACAGCGAAGTATAAGCGCCAACAGCTGTAACTACCTAAGAATTATCATTATTAAAACAATATTATTATTATTATGACTTCTTGTTAAAATTAATGTTGTTAAAATTATTATTAATATTAATACTTCTGTCATTGGATTGATTTCTCTTCCGTAGAGTTTAGAGTACATTGCAGCTAGCGCCTTCACTAGGCGGGGATGTCCCTATCATTAATCATTAAATGAAGCTCATTTACTGTGCTACAATATTTGCTATAATGCTTACAGGTCCACGAGTGTATTGGTGTAGCATTGTTGTCTTTGAACTTTCAACCAAAGCATCAATCACAAATTGTGGAGGACTAAAATCAGGAAACCCCTAATAATAATAATAATAATAACACTAATGAACTAATCATACAGTGACTTTTCATTGCTATATTCAAGATACTCTCTTAAGTTATATGTTTGTTACCTGCCCAAGATTGATCGCTTTACTCTCTATAGCTAAAGCAGCATATTCCACCCTAAGAGAATGTAATATTAATAATAGAAAACTTTCAATAGTAACAGTATTAGGATCAAAGCCAAAACTACAGCTACCACTAAACATTTCTCTTACCACAGGTTAGTTTCGAAGCCTTTTGTTCTCTCTGCTGTCTAAATTAAACCAATAACACAAAAGAACTAATAATTTCTGAGCTACTTTATTTTTTCCAGTAGATGCCATTGCTCCCACACTAGTGACAATGTTTCTCTTGCTTAATAGTAACCTGTGACGAAATAATGAAGCAGATAGACCTCTAGACACGATCATACTAAAGAAAAGAGAAGAAAGAATTGATAGAACTACTGTTTATAATCAACTAACTGGAGGTGTGGCTCACAATTTAAAAAGGGCGTGGCTGATATTAATTATAAATGGGCGTGGTACCTCACGTTGCAAAGAAATCCTGACTCGAGAAGAAAATCAAGAAGTATAAGAGATATGGGTAACCAATTGACAGCCTTAGCTCCTGCTCAGATCCTACCAATGGAGAGTTACTTTCATGACTTGCCAGACTTTGGAAAACCAGTCAGGTAAGCATACATACAGTGATCAGTGACCACACCCCTTACTCCTCCTCTTAGTTTGGGTAGCACTCGCTTCATGAAGGTTGCTCGCTCGAAATACACGTAAGTAAGGTTATTGGGCACTATGACGATTAGCGCTGTATTTATAGTGATGGGACGGAGGTCGTTGTCAAGATATTTCCAAAGATTGATTCATCCGTTCAGCTCCAGATGTACGAGAAGAGGCTCCATGGTGAGTAGGAATTGTATTGTGTTGTTAGCTTAATGAGTGTCTGATTTATTTGTTAGATATTAATATGAGGCTACGTTTCATTGCTAACGTCTTACCGTATCAAAACTTTTGGGTAAGGAAAATTATATGTTCTTATGTTGTTTAGTAATAATAAAAATTTGGGAGGATTTTGGATTTTCAGAGCCAACTATAGCCTTGGGTATTTTTCAGAAATTTTTTATATTTTTAAAATGGTTGTAACTCGAAAAATTGAAGTCAGAATCAGCTCAAACTTGCTACACAACATAAGCACATCAATTTGTATCAGAAAATATAATAAAAATTGAGGGTGATTTCGGAGCCATTTTTTGGAAAGAACCATGGGCTATAGCCTTGGGTGTTTTTCAGATTTTTGGCATTTTCTTAAAATGGCTGTAACTCAAAAAATTAAAGTCAGAATCAGCTCAAACTTTCTACACAGCATAAGTACATCAATATGTATCAGAAAATGTAATAAAAATTGGGGGTGATTTCGGAGCCATTTTTTGAAAAAATCATGGGCTATAGCCTTGGGTGTTTTTCAGATTTTTGGCGTTTTCTTAAAATGGCTATAACTAAAAAAATTAAAGTCAGAATCAGCTCAAACTTTCTACACAGCATTAGTCCATCAAAATGTTTTAGAAAATGTAATAAAAATTTGGGGTGATTTCGGAGCCATTTTTTGAAAAAAACCATGGGCTATAGCCTTGGGTATTTTTCAGATTTTGCCTCATTTTTAAAAATGGCCATAACTTGAAAAATTAAAGTCGGAATCAGCTCAAACTTTCTATACAGCATAAGTACATCAATATGTATCAGAAAATGTAATAAAAATTGTGATAATAGTATTTATTGTATATTGTATAGGACTCTGATAAAGCAGCATTTCTGGTTAGGCAACATGTACAGTACAATCTCTATGACAGAATCAGGTAAATTTTTAACTACATTTACATTCATAATTTTGTCTGGCCACCCAAAAAATTTACAGCACCAGACCATATTTGAACAACATTGAAAAGAAATGGATCGTCTTTCAATTGCTAAAAGCACTGGAGGGATGCCATGAAAAGAAAGTGGGTGTGGTCCAATTGATTAAAAATTAATTAATTAAGTAATAGGTGTATCATGGCGACTTGAAAACTGAGAATGTTTTGTTAACCGGATGGGGATGGTAAGCCCCTGTAATTATTTTAATTAATTATTGGAATTATTATCTTAGGGTCTTCTTGACTGATTTTGCTAGCTTCAAGCCGACATTGCTACCAGCTGTAAGAAAAGTTGGTCATGTAATTATCACCTCTCTCTCTCTCTTTCTCCCTCCCTTTCTCCCTTCCTCTCTCTCTCTCTCTCTCCCTCTCTTTCTCTCTCTCTCTCTCTCTCTCTCTCCCTCTCTCTCTCTCTCTCTCCCTCTCTCTCTCTCTCTCCCTCCCTCTCTCCCTCTGTCTCTGTCTCTGTCTCTCTCTCTCTTTCTCCAGGATAATCCAGCTGATTATACTTTCTTTTTTGACACATCTCGAAGGAGAAACTGCTACGTAGCTCCAGAAAGGTACAAAAATTATTAAAATTGTAATTACATTCCATTATTAATTAATAAAGGTTTGTACACGCCTCCAGTTACTCCCAGAGTAGTTCAGCCAGTGACTCATTTCAAAGGAACAAACCACTCACTTATGAAATGGACATATTCTCACTAGGGTAACGAAAAGAGAGAGAGAACGAATTTTAAAGTTACTCAAAAATTGAGCCAAAGTCCCTGTACTATAGTAGTACATGGTTTTGGGCCAAATTTTGGCAAAAATGAGAAGAGAGATATTTTTGAAAGTGATGTTTTTGTGATATAATTTTAGAAGTGTACCGGTGTGATGTGCATGTATTTTTAAAAATATTTTAGTTGCGTTACAGCTGAGTTATTTCTCGACGGACAATTGATATTCAATTTAAGCGAGTTGCTTGATTATTGTCAGAAAGAGTTCTCCCCTGAACCACTCCTTAAGAAAATAACTGATAAATACATAAAAGTAAATCATTGTTATTATTATTATTATTATTATTATTTATTGTTATTATTAATATTATTTTTTGTCATGTGAATCTCACATGATAGAAAATGGTACGTCACATGATTCAGTTCAAAGCATCTGATAGAAGGAGACCAGAACAATATCTAACCATGTTTAAAGGTAAGGGATTAAGCAGAAATAGACCAGAGTTCTATTCTAGTATTATAACATTGCCTTATATGTGTACATGTACATGTACATCCATTTAGTCTTTCTAGTTACAATGAGAATATTTTGAACCCAGCTTAATTATATTTTTTTCTCTTTCTCTCAGGTCTTGTTTTCCCGGAGTATTTTTACACTTTCTTACACGATTATTTCAAATCATTTACGACAGCAACACAACTCACTCCTGACCAATGCATTAAAAAGTATATTAAAATAATAATAATAATATTTATAATTTTCATCATTATTATTAGACTGTATGGTGATATTGAAGCTATACTGGCTAACCTGTTTCTAAATAGTACCAAACAGGACAGGGAAACTGGTTATGGAGGTATGGGCATTGATATACATGTACATGTATTGGTGTCACGTATATTTTACCATTATGCATAGATGATAATTATGAAAATTAAATCAAGTGAATTACATGTAAATACATATGTACCTCCTATCTTCCATAACATTCAGTGCTACTGTAACATGTAATGTCTTCTCTCTCTTTTAGATGTTCTTGTTATTGTTCTGTCGGCCATTACGTCAAATTTAAGAGTAGCTCAGGTACATGTATAATACATTATTTATTTATTTATTTATTTGTTTGTTTGTTTATTTGCTAGTTTGCCGGTTCTAAGCTTCAAGCAATAGAAATGATGAGGACAATAGCTAACTATGTCAGTGACTGTAGCATACTGGAGAGAATAGTACCTTTCCTTGTAAGATACATGTACAATGTACTTCCACTCTCTTTCTCTCTCCCTCCCTCTCTCTCTCTCTCTCTCTCTCTCTCTCTCTCTCTCTCTCTCTCTCTCTCTCTCTCTCTCTCTCTCTCTCTCTCTTTCTCTTTTATGCTCTTCTAATTCTCTCCTTTTATTGACGTACAATTGTACATGTACATGTATTTCTTCTCTTTCCTTCTCAGCATCTTCTTATTAAAGACAAATGGCCATCAGTAAGAGCTGAAGCTATCAGAACTCTCTCGTTTTGTTTGAGTGTAATAAGGAAAGTACCCAGGAGGTAAGACAATACTAATAAGTACATGTATTTATTTATTTTTTTTCATTTTTAGTGATTTCAACTTGTTTCCTGAATACATACTACCAGTTATTGTAAATTATTAATTAGTAATGTTAGCTGGTTTTAATAATCATTTATTAATAGTTGATGGTTCCTAAAGACATTGATGTTCAAGTGAGAGTTGCATTAGCTGAATCAGTTGCTGAATTGGCTCTTAGTTCACACAGGTATGCTAATTAATTGTGTGGGTGTGGCTAGTTATTAAGTTTCTGTTAATGGTAACAGGTTTTTAGAATTAGCTCAACTCCAGATGAATCAGGAGGCAGCTGGGGATGAACCATCAGGCGTACAATATCAAGTAATGACAAATTACCATTATTTATTTGTTTGTTTGTTTGTTTTCTTTCATCAGATATATGGTACTTATGATAATGAGTTGCATCAGTTACATGAAACATTTCAATCAATTGTAGTACATCTACTCAGTGACAATGTAAGTGTATGATAGAGGAGAGAGAGATGTGGTAGCTACATGTATGTACAATGTACATGTATAGACAAAGTGACAAACTTAATAATAATAACTATTATAGATATTTATGTATCAACAAAAGTTATTATTATTATTATTATTATTATTATTATTATTATTATTATTATTATTATTATTATTATTATTATATTAGGATTCAAATGTTAAGAGAGCATTCCTAACCCACAGTGCTGGGAAGTTATGCACTTTCTTTGGAGCTCAAAAAGGTAAGACTATCACTTTAAAATAAATATGAAAATCTACAAAAATTTTACCCTTCAATCCCTAGCTAAAGAGGTTATACTATCGCACATGATCACATTTCTGAATGACAAAGTAAGCCACACCCATTTAGCAAGGGACCTGCCCATTAATTACCACACCCATTAGAGTAATTGGGAGCTCCATATAGCATTCTTTGAGGCAATTGTTGATGTGGTTAGTCAAATTGGTGAGAGAAGTTTAGACGTTCTCGAG